TGACATATGTGATCAACTCGGTCTCAATCCCAACCCAGTGGCTCAATTGAATCCCAATATTGCAAAATCAATTTTTTCATATTTACAAATACTTTTTAATCCCCTTGACTAAAAGGGAAGTTTCCATAATAGCGGCAAAGGCAGTTAAGGTTGGTTTTTATTAATGTCCCTAACTAGTTGAGGTAAGCTATATGAATCCCTATATTCATTTTGCTTTATTCCAGCACACGAATGAACATTAAAAGAAAGATAACCAAAGCCCATCATGTTAGCTAAAGAGTTATTGGATCTCTCCCTCCTAAAACGTGAAAATCTCCAAAGCATGTAATAAATAAGCACATAAGGAAATTTATTAGTGAAAATAGAACAGCCGAAAATAGTTCTAACCTTGGAAACATTGGCTCTTCCAGGATGCAAGACATCAATAATCTGTAAAAATCGTGACACCCATTTGAGTTTTTAAATAGATCAAAGGATCTTTACAAAGACAAGCTTTGTTTCAATGCGAAAAAGGTCAACATTTTTAAGAACGTACGAATTGTTTCCTTGCAAGAAGCCTATTGGTCATGAACTTCCTAGTTCTAATAGTCACTGCCTTGTCCGCCATTTTTTCCCTGTAAGCAATGAATGAATCTTTTAATATAGTCTACTATATACACATTTACTAACTGAAGTATAGCAAAATAAACAGTGTTGAGAATAATACTTTTGTTTCTCGGGTTGCTGCACCGGCGACTCTATCTCTCTCTCTCAAGCTCTGTGCTGCGCCTCCGTTCTAAGTTCTGTGTTAATATTGCTCGCTGGGTTTTAGGGTTTTCTTAAAAGGCCTCGCTAATTCTTGGGTGCCTTTTGGGCCATGGGCCTTGGCTTCGGGCTGGACCTCTTTTCCAACAATACAATATTGGATGAATTTTCAGAAATCATTATTGTTTAGTGGCTAATAACTTCATATAGCTATCGTATATATAATTACTTTTTATAACTACTATTTAGTTGTTACGCGACTGTATTCGCGCTGTTGTATTCATGAATACATTAGCAGAATTTGCCTAAAAAATTGGGGAGTCCAATTGTGCGACTGTATTCGCGCTACATTCATGAATACAGTAGCGGAATTCGCCTAAAAAATAGGAGAGTCCATTTGTTTAATAACGAAAAGAGAATCAATTAGCATATATCGCTCCTAATTCAACTCAATAAAATTAATTCTACATAAAATTCGTTGTTGCGCGACTGTATTCGATGTATTTGCGCTATTGTATTTATGAATACAGTAATAGGGGAGTTCAGTTGTGCGACTGTATTCGTTGTATTCGTGCTACTGTATTCATGAATATAGTTGTAAAATTCGCCTAAACAATAGGTAAGTCCAATTGTTTAATAACAGAAAGAGGATCGATTAGCGTGTATCACTCTTAATTTAACTCAACAAAATCAATTCTACATAAATTTCGATGTTATTGTGTTGTATTTCATATATGCGCGCGACTGTATAAATACAGTGAGGTAATCAAAAAATAAGATGTATATCATTCTATTCAATTCGACTATATACATTATATTCAATTCACAAATATTTAATATTTATTATTATACATTATATTCAATTCACCGTATTCAATTCGACTGTATTCAAATAATAAAAAAATTATAAAACACAGTGATATTCAATTATAATAAAAAAAAATACAGACCTTCATAATACATAAATACATGCGAAAAATAATATATTTATACAAAAAATATAATGTATTTGAGTGTATTTGTACAAAATATAATGTATTTATGTCACTGTATGTGACTAAAATAGCAAAGAATAGAAGAAAGTTTGTGGGAGATGGCTTTTCTTGCCAAGCAAAATACTATATACATTGTATTAAAGTAAAAATGAAGACGAACAAAAATCCGGCCCTCAAATCTTTTTCGGCGTAGCCATGGCCAGATCTGTTCGTCTGAGATGATGAACCAATAGTGGATGATGACGCCGACGATAAAAATTGAGTGCTTTAGTGGGTATAACTCGTGCAATACTCTTCGGAGTTGTTGAATCAACCACTGAAGACAAAATTTAAAGTTTCTTCCTCAAAACCTAGCAATGGCGAAAATTTTAAAAAAATATTGAAGAGAAAAAGAAGAATGACGGAGTAATTTGGTGTGAACCGGCCAAAAGCTTTACCAATTACCACGAACTTTTGGAGCAAAATTGTTGAGGATCAATTCCGAGAATTTGTTTCCTACGATCTTGTTGAGAGAGAGAGAGAGAGAGAGAGAGATCGTGTAGAGAGAAAGAAGAATAATCTTGTTGCGATGTGAGGGAGAACGTGTGTTAACTTAAAGAAAGAGATTAGAAAAAATATAAAGTGTATACAATAAATACCTATAAAATATAAAAGGTAGCTATAGATAATAATATTTTAAAATGGTTTTCGTCCATAATAAATAAGGTGTGACAGTTTGCTATAAGAGGTAAAAATTTCTACAATCTTCCCTGGTCATGTGACACAACGCCCTTGTGGCCTTCGCTACTTTTTTAGTTTTTGGTCTTGGGCTTTTTTAGGGAGAATTACGCGACACATCAAACATTTACATTATATTTATCATTCGTAGCGATACTTTCAATAAATTTACCATTCATAGCTATATTTGAATTTTATAGCAAATCCATGTAATAAGAGATTAATTGTTTTGAATTGAAATAATGTTGTATCCTGCTTAGAGCGCCTGCTTAGCTAGCAAAGGTCTTGAGTTCGAATCTCAACATGAACATTTTATTTATCTGTATTCTGTATTTTGCCTTAGTTGTAATCGTTGCGCAAACAAATACAGTCGATACATGTTGTATCATTTGTATATACACTTATATACAATTAATATAAGTTGTATCATTTGTATATACCTTTGTATTTCATCTTGGTTAAAGTTGATACATATAATATTAGTTGCACGAACGAATATAATTGCGCAAAGGAATACTTTGATGAATGGAAATAGCAATGGAAATATATTGGTGGAAAGAAGAAGCAGTGGAAATATATGACTAAGCTGCAGGGTAATCTCGTCTTTTTGATTGGGCGCGAACTTAACAGATTCTCGATGCAAGCTGAACTGAAAATCTCTCTTCATTATAACTGCTCCGTCAACCGTCTTTCCCTTCACATATCCCCAAAACACACACTTTCTCTCTTTAAGCAAACAAACAAAGAGCTTCTTCAAGAATTCATCAATGGCGTCCACTGCTAAGCTCTTCATCTTCCTCATCTCCATTTTCATCTGCATTTCACACACCACCGCCGCAAACCCTTTGTTCCGTTCAACGTCAGAATCTCGTCGTCACCTTCTCCTAACTCCATCACCATCTCAATCTTCATCTCCGTTGGCCGCCATCCTCTACAATCTCGGTTTTCAAGATCTGGCCAACGCATCTCTTAACGCCAACATCTCCACCATTAATTTCCCATTTACCATTTTCGCCCCTACTGATTCCTCCCTCCTCACTTGCCCTTCTTGTTCCCTTCCCCTGATTCTTCAAGAACACTCTGTTCTTGGTCTCTACTCTTTCCACTTCCTCCGTAACCTAGCTTTTGGTACAAAGATTGAAACTTTAGCCCCAACTCGCTGTCTTACTATAACCCCATCTCGTATTAACAACTCCTCGAGGTCTGTTTTTGTAAACGGGGTTGAAATTACCAAGCCGGACATTTACAATAGTGGGTTCATCATTGTTCATGGTATACAGGGGTATATGGCTCATCTTTCTCCAATTTCTTGCAGAATTGAGAGCATGACTACTTTATCATTCCCGTTTATTCCACCGCCCACGGCGGCGTTTGCTGCCACGCGCTTGATGTTAAAAGATGTTATGGCTCATCTGCGTACTGGTGGTTATAGTATAGTGGCACTTGCTATGAGAGTGAAGTACCCTGAGTTAGCTGACTTGAAATCCATGACTATTTTTGCAATTGATGATTTGTCCATTTTTGATGGTGGGAATGGGCATGAGTATGTGGCAAATCTTGGGTTTCATATTGTGCCTAATAGGCTGTTAATGGCCTCTGAGTTGGTTAAATTGCCTCATGATACAGAGCTGCTGACAATGGATAGGGGGGAGAAATTGGTTGTGACTACTGCGGGAGGCAATGGTCCTTTGGTTCCAATGAGGATTAATTACGTTAAAGTCAATAATTTGGATCTTGTTTACAATAATAGGATTGTGGTTCATGGACTTTCAACGCCATTCCCACGTATTCGCCGTCATCAAAATGATGGTACACAGGAATTTCAAGACATAATGGGGACTGTGATATAATGGACATAAATGTCAAGGATTAAAGACTACTACTTTTGTAGTTTTGTGTAAGGCTCTGATTCGTAATACAAAACTGAGAATAATACTTTACTCTTCTTTGTAGTAGCATACTAATTCTTGAGGCATGTAATGTGTAGAAAAGAGAGGAGGAAGCATATTATAGAGTTTTACTGGGTTTTTAGAGAACTACGTATAATGCAAATTTCTTCTTCTTGTTTTATCTGATCTGTCGCCTCCTTTTTAATTTCTTTTCTTGTTGTTGATTGTTAGTTCATTCTGACTTTTACTTCTTTAATTGCATGAAATTTTTTACTTGTATCTTTTGTGATTAAGCCAAACTGTATGGGATTGAATCTATTGAATTTGGTCTACGATCGTCCGTTTGAAAACCATATCTGTGAGTGCAGCACCACATAAGTGATCATATCAAAATTTTCTTTTTCTTAGGGAAAGGTGTAATTAGGAGGACAAAATTGCTTTTCAACTTAGCTGCACTATTTTATAAACTGAAAAAAGAAAAGAAAAGAAATTAGTTGCACTCTGATTGTGAAAATTTGGCTTACATGAAATTGACTGGATAGACTAGGATGTATAACGTTAGACAATAGTTCATTCATTCACTGTTAACATTTAATAAATCAATACACTAGGATCTCCAAAATTCGCACTCCATACTTAGCTAAAATCCATTGTTTTAGCCAATATCCATTGTTTCCATTTGAAAAGATAGCGTTTCAGGATCATACTCCTCGTACACCTTGCAGAGAACCCAATCATCGAGCTGAAGTTTTGAACAATTAGAAGAAGCGAATTAATAAAATTAAAGATTAACTCTAGAATAATTAACCAACAAAACTTACCCTCCTATGACACCAAATATATTGAGTAATTCTTACAGAAGCAAATACTTGCTAAATTTTCTCTATTTAAAATAAATGTAAAAAGGATCTTACTATATTACACTAATAGTGTAATAAAACTTTACTTGCATGTCATTTAAAAGTTATTTAAGGTTACCAATAAATATTTATTAAATAAAATTATCTGTAATTATTTTTTAAATAATCTGATTGTATAAGTAGTATTTTTTGGTATGTCGGTTCACCGAACTTTTAAGCCGCCCATCTAAAACGATGATGTCCAAAATTTGACCATTAGTTCTCTAAGAGGGTTGATATTTGGCACTTACCCTTCCGATATTGTGATCACAAGTGATTGAACAGCAGTGCTGCCTTAGCTTATACTCAATCATACACCAGTGAGTTTTGCGCGCTTGTTTGGGGTCACCTTCAAAGAACAAAAGCTTCTGCTTCATCCCAACAGTCCCGTCTGTTCCAAGGATATTATCATCTATACATTTCAATAACTTCCAGTAGCCATTTCTGGCTCGTCGATCAGGTCGAGGCATTATTCCGTAAAGTCGACGCCTCGGTGTCAATACATAGCATTCCTTTATTCCACCACCATTTATTTCCCCTGCATGCAACCATAAAAAACAACTAGCTCAATCAGGCTGAAGCTCTCAAATTAGGTAAATGAGTGTAATTAAGTAGATTTGGATTTGGAAGAAGGTTTTCTATGAAGGAAAAATATTACTAACTTTTATACATTTCCCTTCCCATTAATTAAGTTACGTGGTGCTTGAGTGCAAAATAATACTTATTCCTAATATCATACACTTTTTCTGTGATTTTGAGCAGAATAACATACTAATCCCGTCTATCTCATTTTATTTAAAACAGTTTTTTCTTTGACTAGATTTTATCAAACTCGTTTGTCTATATTTTAAATTATTAATTATGTTGACTTATCAAATCTTTTTGTGTAGGTTTTAAATAAGTAACTTTAATTTACAACACTAGAAGATTATATGCCTAAATTCACACAAAAAAATTAGGCACTTTGACCCAGCTTTACGGGGACAAAGCTATGTCTGTCCAAGGGTAGTAAAGTACTGTTGCCAAAAAATTTACTGTGCACGTATTTGCTATTAATAAAAAAAAATAGATTTTTAATATCCATGCATAGTTCACTCGCAAAGAGTATTCGAACTTTGTTGGTTTCGGCTTTATGCCAAATTTGGCATAGAGTTAGATGGAAGATGTAGTACCTTGAAAGAAATCTTGAGGACTAAAATCATTGATATTTGCAAAGATCAATCTGTCTATTGACAGTGGCTGGTTCTTGAATTTGTTGTTCAGCTGTTGAATAAGGAACCTGTCCATATCCATTAGTACTATTTGTCAAAACCCCGCCGCTAAACTAGCCTAACTGAGAAAGTAGACCCAGGAAAAAGATTTAGGGTTTAAGCAAAAAAAGAAAACCTTAGTAGCTTGCAAATTTTAACCACAGTTTCGGAAAGAAGCCTCAAACGAGATGGAAGAACTGAAGAAAGTTCAAAGTCGAAATATGAAGAACAGCACCGCGGAGGACAAGTTACTCCAATTATGTATCAACTTAAATATGTATATTCTCAATATTTGAGTTGGCTATGGCTTCTCATGAATTACATAGGATACCTAAACCGTCTCTAATTTGGTTTATTGTCTTATAGTCTTAAACTTCCCATGTTAAGCGTTATTAATATATCTTGAGTACAACACAATTAATGGCTTATAATCTATCAGGCCTATTCTTTTACTATAAAATGTTTAAATAATCAAAGAAATAGGTTCAGGGCAATTAGGCTTAATTTATCCTTGTGGTGACCCTTATTTTTTGTCAAAAAGCTTCATAATAATCGGCATATTCATATTTTAATTTCATACCTTTAATAACTACTTAGAATATTATGTGGCATCAGATATCGTTTTATTTGAAAACAAAGATTCTTTTGCGTATTTAGACAAATTTTGACTTGAATAATTTTAGAAAATAACCTACATAATGATTGATTAATTCATGTGTACTGCCTGTTATTATTCAAGGTTAGCACTAATACCTCTTGTGAGACAAATTAAAGTCATGTTTCTTAAAGAAAAACCAGCACGGTAAATCATAAATCAACTTAAGCTCTGTTACCTAACTAGTTACTATTTGCGACAGATATCTTGAAACTAGATTTCCCCCCTTTAAATCAATCCATTGTATGCAAATGTATATTACGGACAAGGCGAATCCAATTGCAAAAGGGGGCAAATGTTGACCAATTTACTGACGCGTCAATTGATTTTAAAATCTAACACTCCCTCATTTTACTATTGTAATGCACATCAAAGTATGCAGTTCCCATATTCCATTAGCGAGACATTCACGTGCCGCCATGTATCGAAGTGGTCCACGAAACAATGAAGGTTGCGGTCGAAGAGTCAGCAAGGATTAAGATCGAGGAGTCATCAAAGATCGAGGTCGAGATCGAACACCCTTGACAGAGTTATAACAGCTAGTTTCAAGATAGGACATTAAAGAGAATATTCTAGTGGATATTCTCTTGTACTATAAGGTTTCTAGTAACATGTTCCCTATAAATAGAAAGAGACATAATGATAGGGGACATGAGATATTTTTTTTGTAAAGAACACATTGACTTTGTAAGGGAGAATCTGATCTTATCGCATATATACAAAAATAACCTTTTTACCGAGATTCTTGTCTAGCATTTCTATCAGATCCAAGTATTCAAAGGCTTATCAATCATTCATCATTGTTAGAAGGAATAATTACCGATCTCATCTCTTTTCGAGTAACTAACACGTTTTATTTACCTAAATATCATTTATTGCTATTTATTACTATTTAATGCCATATTTCATCTTTTTGGATCATTGAATATTACCATCATTGCTCATATTCACTACCATCCGGATAGAATATGCCAGTTATTTGGTTTTGACACACGTAACTTTATCTTTTGGATATTATTTTTAATTAAGATGAACTCTTCTTTATACAAATCTAATTGGTTGAGCCAAAATCAATAATTTTTGGTTAGACAGTTTGGCGCCGTCTGTGAGAATTTCTTAGTTAGTTTTTAAGTTTCCTTTAGATCTACAACTCACGTGATTCACTAACCTCACAAACCCCAAGATTTCCTCCTTTCTTTTCTCGTACAAATACCTACATGGCAGGTAACCAAGGAGAAAGGATAAAGTAACATGTGATTTCCCTAACAATCTCATGAATACTATCAACGACAGCTGCAAAACACTAGGCGAGGACATGACGTCCACTGCCTCCCCTAGGCGCGAGAGGTCACCTCCTCCCCATTATAATATAACAAAACCCAATGGAAAAGGGGCCTCCACGTCCACAGAAGAAGAGGCGCCACCGGCCGTGAAAAAGCTCCCCGAAGCATGGCTAACAGATACACTAGTAAGCATGCTCAACAAGCTCACTCCATGTACAACTATAAAGACTGCAAGAGCTTGTGCAGTATAACGAGCAAACGAACAAAGCAACCGACTAGACCCTCAGACACCATGTATAACTCACAATATTACTAGCAGTGCAGGTGATAATGCCCTCACCGTTGTTCTAAAAAGGATGGAGGAAATGGAGAATAAAAATAAAGTACTCAGTGACCAAATGAAAGAACACCAAGAACGAGTCGACAAGATACCGGGCGTTCCTAAACTATTGCCAAAGAGGGACGCCGGCAAGTTCATAGAACAATCGTACATTGAAGAAGCAGCCCCACATGCCATACCAAAGCCCTTCAAAATGCTGCCCTACCTCAGGATATACGACGAAACGACCGATCCAGAAGACCATGTGACTCATTACGCCACCGCCGTGAAAGGCAATAACCTCACCAAGGAACAAGTCCTCTATTTTGCTGAAGAAGTTTGGCAAAACCCTCACAGGAGGGGTATTAACATGGTACTCATAACTACCAGCCCGCTCTATAGAAACTTTCAAGGAAATGGCCAATAAGTTCGTAACGACACATGCCAGAGCCAAGAAAACCGAAACAAGGGTAAATGATATATTCTCCATCAAGCAGTCCTTGGGAGAAGGACTGAGCGACTTCCTCGCCCGATTCAATAGGGTAAGGATGACTTTGCCAAACATGTCTGAGGGGATGGCGGTCGCGGCCTTTCAGAACGGGTTGAGTAGAGATGATTCGAGAATAACTAGAAAATTGTTGAGCCGATTGATGAAATATCCTCCAATAACTAGGGACGAGATCCATAATGCTTACTCTACTGAAGTCCGAGCAGTTGAGGATGACCTGTAACGACCCGACCGATCGCTTTAAGAGTAATAGCCTCGATCCCCTATTTACTACTTCTCCCATATCTATTTCTACTATTGTGACTTGTCGGGAGGTTTCGGTTTTGTTTTTGAAGTGATTTGAGACACTTAGTCCTTAAACGAAAGCTTAAGTCTTAGGATTTTGACTGTAGTCGGAACTGTGTGAAGACGACTCCAGAATGGAATTTTGTCTATTCTGTTAGCTCTGTTGGGTGATTTTGGACTTAGGAGCGTGTCTGTATTGTGTTTTGGAGGTCCGTAGCTTATTTAGGCTTGAAATGGCGAAAGTCAAATTTTTGGAGATTTGGACCGGTAGTGGAAATATTGATATCGTGGTTGGATTCCGATTCTGGAAGTTGAAGCAGGTCCGTAATGTCGAATAAGACTTGTGTGCAAAATTTGGGGTCAATCGGACGTGGTTTGATTGGCTTCGGCATCGGTTGTCGAATTTGAAAGTTTCAAGTTCTTTAAGTTTTAATCGGAGGATTATTTGTGATTTTAGCGTTGTTTGATGAGGTTTGAGGGTTCGACTAAGTTCGTATAGTGTTTTAGGATTGGTTGGTATGTTTGGTCGAGGTCCCGGGGGCCTCGGGTGAGTTTCGGGTACTTAACGGATTGAGTTTGGGACTTATGCAATTGCTGGATCTGTTGACCTGGTGTAATCGTACCTGCACACTTTGGGCCGCAGGTGCGGCGCCGCAGAAGCGGCTATGGAGCCGCAGAAGTGGTTTTGACCCTGTCCAGCTGGGACCGCATGTGCGGCCAAAGATCCGCAGAAACGGACGTGCAGAAGCGGAAGAGAAGCACAAATGCGGGCTCGCAGAAGCGACCCTTGTTTGCAGATGCAGACTCAGCCTCCCTTAAGTGATTTTCACATCTGCGATGGAATTTACGCAGGTGCGGTACCGCAGGTGCGGTTGAAGGCTTGCAAGTGCGAGATGTCTGGACATAACACTTAAATGCAAATGTTCGCAATTTTTGCTCATTTTCAATATTTTGAGCTCGGGTTTGGCGATTTCTTGAGAGCATTTTTGAGTGGTCTATTGAGGTAAGTCCCTTGTGCTTATTTTTGAACAATAATCTTGCTCCCCCATATATTTTTCCACCTAGTTAGTGTGTATTTAAGGTGAAAATTTGAAATTTGAGGCTAGGGATTTGGAAGTTTGATTTGTGGATTTTGAGGACCATTTGGTGTCGGAATTTAGTAAATTTGATATGGTTAGACTCGTGAGTGAATGGGCTTTCGTATTTTATGACTTTTACCTGATTCTGAGAAGTGGTCCTAACTGGAGATTTTTTAGTTAATTTCGGAATTTTTGTTAAAGTGTTGATTTCGTTAATTAGATGAGACTATTATTGTTGTATTTATGATATGTAATTGTGTTTGGCTAGATTTGGGCCAATCAGAGTCGGATAATCGAGGAAAGGGCATTCTTACGGATTGATTGAGCTTGACTTGAGGTAAGTGGCTTCCCTAACATTGTGTGGGGGAAATCCCATTAAGATTTGAAACTATTGTGATATGTGAGCGCCGTGTACGTGAGGTGATGAATACGTACACGGGCTAGTTGTGGAAAAATCGTATTTTTCTTACTGAGCAACAACCTGTTTTCCTTTTATTTTGAGTTATACCTTTTTAATGAGTATTAATCTATTTTCATTATTTATTGAGTTATTCCAATATGTGTAGCTATCCTCTGTAGTCTAATACAACATGTCTACGTGTCTTAATTGCTTATGTGAACTCTGTGCAACATGCTTAGTGAATTTCCTGCTTCTTCCTTGACTGGTACTTAGTCTAAATTGTAAGATTTTGTGATGTACTAGTATTTCTATCATTTTCACTACATATTTACTTTGGGACTACGAAACGGTATTCCGGGAGATCCCCCTATACTGCATATTTACTTTGGGACTACGGAACAGTATTCCGGGAGATCCCCCTGTACTGTATATTTACTTTAGGACTACAGAACGGTATTCCGGGAGATCCCCATGTACTGCATATTTACTTTGGGACTACGAAACGGCATTTCGG